AAGTAAACACTTTTCAGGTAGAGTAAGGGCTCTTTCCATGGAAATTCCCAGATTTTCCATTTAAGTTTATACACATCATTTCAAACACCGCTTTTGTCGCTCCAAAACCCGGATAAGAAAGGATGAGCATTGGAAATGGTGGCGAAGTCTACACAAAATTTAACCACTTGCCCCTCATGGCATTGATGTCATCGAAAATTTTATCTGCTCGGTCGGCGCCCGGGTTACCAACAGCCATGCGGCTGTTCGGGTACTGAGACAGGCTGCAAACGTTTAGCGATTAGAACCTATTCATCGCCTTTTTGCAGCCAGAGGCGTACCAGCACGACAATTTCTGCCGAAGATCGACAAAATGACCACGAAAATGCCAATCAGCAACGGAGTCGCTACCCGTTCTGAAAGAAGGAGACAGACAGCGCGATACCATTGTAACATGTCAGAAAAGGCTCCATGAGTACGAAACCACCAACGGGAGCTTAGAATCGGAAATTGGAATATATCCTACCTCAGAGGGAAAGAGGAGGAGCTAGTTGATGAGGTCGCAAAGTACGGATATAGTTGAACTTCCGTCAGAGAAGTTCCAGGGCTCTGAAATCTTAAACTTCTGCGAGTGGAAACCATTCTACTCGCGTGTCGATATCAGGACGCAACGCTCAAGCAGGTGTTGGTGTTCTGGTGGAACCCAACTTCGCTGAGAGAATCATTAAATGGAAGTCTATCAGAGAAAGGGTGGCAATTCATTGATTGAAACCACAACATGCTAAAGCAGCCAATCTAAAAAAGGAATATAAGTCTTTCCTTGAGAAGGGGGAAGATACTCTATATTAGATGCCGATTACGGAGTCTCTGATTCTCATAGGCGATTTTAGTGCGCATTTTTGGAAGACACACCTAAAATTGGAGATGCGTGATTGGGAAGAACAGAACCTTAACAGTAATGGCATAAAGTTGCTATGGTTCTGTACATCTGTAGCTGGTAAAGGGAAGCTTGTACACAGAAGTCGATGATCTACTTGATAATCGCATTTTCAGACTTACGACGCTCCGTAACTGATGTTCTCGTTAAAAGATGTGCATAGCTTTCAAAAGATCACCACTTCGATTGGCCCGATACGCTCTGGGAAATGAAGTACAATACGAAGATATGGCGACAGAAGCAACCGCAGAATCAAGTGGTGAACATTAACTTTGATGGATACGGAGCGAAACTTTCATACACCGTCGATCGACAGTATGAACAGATCTAGGTGGTGACTACTGAAGCGGAAACCGAGTGAGAGCCCTTTAATAGCGGCATAATGGAGGCCTGCTGCCGAATGTTGCTGATTCAATCAGGTTGGCCTTCCGGTTGGAAATCAGGAAAGAACCTCTTGGTAGACACGAAATGTACAACTGGCAGTCAAAGAAAAGAACGCTTCATTCAAGAAATGGCTTGGAGAAGCAAAGAACCTTCAACCATAATGCAGAAAGTAGAAACGTGCA